TATATATATATTCACATCCAGGTGAGAGGATGGAAGTGCCTTAGCACAAAGGAGACTTAGAGGTCATCTCTTCAACTCCCTCACACTTTCTCATTTTATGGACTGCTAAATAGAGGCTGAAAGATGCGAAACGCCATACTTAGCAAGTACACAGACCTAGCACTGGTAGGTTATTAATTCTGGATAGGAGTTATGTTAGTAAGCGTAAGGACTGATACTTATTGAGCTTTTGTTCTGTGCCAGGCACTGTACTAGGTTCTCCCTACGTATTTTCTCAGGTCATCTTCACGGTAGCACTAACGGCAGGTGCAGTTTTCCTCATCTGTGAAGTGGGGGTAATAATACAGTTACCCCCTAGCCGTTGTGGGGATCCAGTGGGTTTCAGCCCTGGGAAACATGTGAAATAGTCACCCACACCTAGCATCCAATTTCTTCGCAGGCTTCTGACTGCCATTTTTATCCCCATTTTGGAGTCAAGGAAACTGAGGCACAGAGAGGTGATGCAGTTGCCCCATTTGACCAGAATTTCAACCTGGGACAGATTGGCCACAGCACCCTTGCCCCATACCACTGCCTCCCTGGTGTTCTGACTCCGCAGCCCGCTCTGCCCAACATACTCCAGCATTCTGGGCTACCCCATATGCCAGAGGGGATGGGGACATATGGGGACCCTAGGGATGGTGAGAAGGCCTACATCATTCTAATTCTGGCCAGCCATCCAGGCAGGATGTACACATGTGGAAAGCCTGCCTGGAATTGGACTCGTTCTAGAGCAAGGACTGACTCTGGTGATCCCAGCAGACTCTGACACCAGGGAGGACCTGCGAGTTCATGGTCGAGGGGTCGCACGGGCTCCTTGGCACTGGCACCCTTCTGCTTCGTCATTTTCCCATAAGACTGTGATCTCCCCTCCATGTGTGGCTAGTGTATTCTTCTAAGGCTGTGGTGGGAGAATATCTGCCCGAATATTGGAGACCTGGAGTTTCAGCCTGGCTCCTTCCTCCCTAGCTGGGTGATCTCGGGCAAGTCTTTTCTCCTCCCCACCTGTGCCTCAGGTTTTATCTCCATAAAACAAAGGGGCAGAGTTCATGACTGGTCTGCAATCCTAACTGGTCACCAGAAATACCTGGGGGCTGTAATATGCGCAGATTTCTTGGGTTTGGGCTCATCTCTTTCTACCTTTACCTTTTTAACTCCTCATCTCTGCCCTCCCTTAAACTGTGGTTGAGCATATCTCGGCTAGAAATCTTGAATCTGCATCTTATAAAATCTCTTTGGGTGAATCAGACAACCTACCAGGTGTGGGAGTGCCGGACCAGATGCCCCGCGAAGCCCCTCTCCTCGGCCTCTAACTTCATCTTGAGAAATCACAATCTGAGGCCCCTGAGTCCTGGTCCTCGCTGCTGTGCACGGTGAGCGCAGCAGACCCTTCTCGAGTGGGCAGTGTTTCTATGATGGGCTTTGTAGGGCCCATGGGCCTCATGGTACTCAGTCAAGATAGAGCTCACTTTTAAAAAAAAAATATTTTATTTCTTTACATATTGAGTATAGGGTCTCACTATGCAGTTCAGAGTTGTAGTGATCCTCCTGTCTCAGCCTCCCCAGTACTGGGATTACAGGCGTGCGCCACCATGCCCTGTTGGGGGCCAGCACAGCATGCAGTACCAGGGATCGAACTCGGGTCCATACACTTGCCAGGCAGGCACTTAGACTGCTGAGCTATCTCCCCAGCCAATATAGAGCTCACTTTTAAGTCAGAACTTTTTTTTCTAAACCATTTTATTGAAGTATAACACACATAGAGAAAATATGTACATCATTAGCACTGGATGATAAATTTTACCTAGAAATACCCGTATATAACTAGCATCCAAATTAAGAGACAGAACATAAGTATCGCCAGAGATCTTTTCACATCCCTCCTTGCCTCACGGGTCATCCGCCTCTCACTGAATCAGCAACGATATGGACAATGAGACAGTCTTTTTTTTTTTTTTTTTTTTTTTAATATTAGAATTTATGTAGCAGTTTCTGCTTTTTTTTTTTAGTATATTTAGTACAGGGTCTATAGAGTCTCGCTACACAGATCAGACTCGTCCTGTTTTCAGCCTCCTAAGTGCTGGGATTACAGGTGTGCGACACCATGCCCAGTCTCAATCACAGCAAGGGGGCGGGTGGCAAACCCAGGCCACTGCAGTCTGCCTAAGCAGGCACTTTAGTCCGCTAAGCTATCTGGCCAGCCCAAGACAGTCTTGACTTGGGAGGAATTTTAGGTGTTCTGGGCCAGCCAAAGGAAGCCCACCAGGACCTTACATCTAAAGGCGCTGAGAGCTTTACCCATGAAGCAACAAGAGCATCCCGGTCTGCTTCTTGATATTAACTTCTGAATTCACAGTGTTATGCTTGGGTCTTCATTTGTAAAGGGGATGGAGTGATGAGCTGGATACCATTCAGTGCCACTGCAAGGAGATATTTTTTATTATTGATAGTTCCCAAGAAAAGGAGGCATGCTGCACCCCTGTATGGGTCAGGGCGCAGAGGGAGCAGGCCTTGATCAGAGCCTTTCATGTGGTTTTCAAGGGAAGGACAAAGCGGGCAGGCCGGCAGCTCGGGACTGGCGGACTTGAAGAATACTGGAGGACTTTGGGACCTAGGAGTTGGCCTGATGGTCTGGTACCCAGGCCTGGGTTAGTGCAGGGTAGAGGAAGTACTGATTATGGTTAGTGAGCCCAGGAGAGGGGGCTCCTGTGCCCTCTCCTCTGCCCTTGGCCCCAGGAGGAGCAGCGTCTCTCCAGGCTGCAAGGCCAGAAACGCCAGAGCACTGAGAGTCCAGAGATGAAGGACCCATGGGGCATTCGGTGGGCCCTGTGATGAATGGCTGCCGAGAACAGCACAGACACAAAGTCTGTGGAAGCAGAACACGCTCCTTGATGAGATTTCTAATAAGTTTCCATTTTAATCACAAATTCAGCACCGTTGCTTATTATGGAATGTCTTCATGCCAGGATAGAAATAAATAAGTCATGGGGGATAAGAATTGAGGCTAAAGACAGGCATGCGAGCATTGGTTAAGAGCCTCCTTGAGATCCATGTGGGGTCAAGAGAAGAGGATCGGGGTTCCAGTCCTGCTCTGCTCCTTCCTAGCTAAGTGACCGTGGACACACACACACACACACACACACACACTCACTCATCCATCCATCCTGTAGCGAATCTGTAGAATGAAGTGGCAACACCTTAGGGCAGCTGTGTGGACCAGTGAAAAAGAGCCTCACTCTGTGCCAGGCACACAGCACATGTTCAACTCAGGAAATACCACAGGACCCTGGGAAGAACAGATGAAGGTGCATAGACTGTCCGAGGAAGGTGTGGTTAATTCTGCTGCAGATGGGGGGAGAGCTTTGTAAGGGGGAGCTGCCTCCTCCCTCCTGTGCTTTGTTAAGGCTACTTTTTTTAAAAAAAAAAAATTATTTATTTATTTATGTGGGGGGGGCATCTCAGCCCACCAGGGGACGGGGCTGGCTGGCATGTGGTGCTGGGGGATTGAACCGCGGTCCCTGTGCTTTGCTAAGCTTGTTCTAAGTAGGTGCTTTAGACCACTGAGCCATCTCACCAGCCCCATTAAGGCTACTTTGAGTGCAAGGAATAAAGACCCATTCCAGAGATGCTGACGCAAGAAGGGAAATTACAAGTTTACAGGGAAGCTCATGACTCCCGGGAGCAAGAAGAGGAGGGTTTAGAAGGTACAGGAACTCCTACTTCTCCCCTCTTTACAAGAGGGAAGATCCAGGTGGCCCACCGAGAGTCAGATGTCTGCCCTGGCCCAGTCATTAACAGCCAGAGGGGTGGCAGTGGCTGGGAGGTGTGGCAGCCAACAAAAATAGTCCTGGGGCTCCAAGATTGTGGGTCACTCTCAGAAGAGAATAGTGGTGGGTGCTAGCAGCCTGTTCGCAAGTCTGCCTTTTGTATTTGAGACGAGGAGAACACCAGGAAGCCCCAAGTGTAGCTCCACCCGTAGGCTGAAGCCTTACCCTCTGCACTACC